GCCTTGTCCTGTGCCACCCACCCACCACATCCTGGGCATAGCCTCTGCTGAAACCAGCAGACCCTCTCAAGCAGAAACAAGGGTGGGAATAGGTGGAAGAACAGGGCGTGGGGCACTCTGGGGTGATGAGAAAAACTCTCCGTCCACTTGGTCTTTCCCAGACAGCCTGGAGTGCTCCCTGAGAGCTCCCTCTTGCCTCCTCCCCACCCCCACGCCTCCTACAGGCAGGATGGGACTGGTCAAGATCAAGTTCTTACGTGCACAGTGCCAGGAGTTCTGATCTGGGTCCCTAGGCAGCTACTGGTGGTTCCTCAAGGAGCCAGGCCAGTTCAAATCTTTCTCTTCCTTCCCCTTCTTGGAGTCTCGAGAGAGTTTGGAGGACTCCTGAATCCAACCAAGTTCCCTCCAGATTGTGAGCTTCTTGAGGGCAGGACCATGTCCCAGCACAGTGCCTGGCACATGGTAGATGCTCAATAATGACAAATACTTATCTGGAGCATCCAGTGTGCCAGGCACTGCTCTCAGAGCGCAGGGAAGTAAAGCACCTTGCACAAGGGAGCGCAACTAGGAAGAGGTGGAGGCGGGATTTGAACCCAGGCAGTCTGGCTCCAGCCATGCCCACTCATGAGTTAAGGTGTATTTGTTTGATGGAATGAGCTCAGGTGGTGAGGGGACAACCCTGAGGCCACCTCTGAGTGAGTCAGTCCTGGGACCAGACTACCCAGGCCAGAATAGCCTTGGGGCATGACATCCTGGGGGCCCCACTCTCCAGGCAGGGGGTGGGTGATTATTGAAGGATGAGGTCCCTGGGATCCTGCAGATGGTGGACAGAGCAGTGTCCTGGGAGGCTCCCCAAAGCCTGGGAGAGCCATCTTCTGCTTCCTTCAAGGTCACCCCAGTGGGTCAGCTTTAGCCACATTTGTGGGTGCTGTGTACATTGGAGAGTGGGAAAGGAGGTGGGCGGGAGGTGCCAGGAGGGTCAGAAGAGACCTGAGGGTGGGAGTGTGTGTGACATGAAGTCCTGAGGGGCACCCTTGACTTCTCCCACTCTAGAGAAAGACAGGCTGGTCTGTCAAGTGGTTGAGGGTGCCTTGGGGTCAAAGCCAGAGGTCATCGCATGTGTGGGGGTGGGGGCTCTGGTCTTATGATCAACCTGACCACGAAGGAACCATGAGGTGAGGGTACAGAGAGCAGAGAGACACAGACTGGGGCAGAGAGGGTCACTTGGGGTAATTGCTTTCTTAATAGGAAAAGAGAGGCTAGAAGTTAGCCTGGGGGAGCCTGAGACAGACAGTAATAGGGGAGGTCGCTGGGCCAGAGCAGGCGCAGCCTGAAGGAGTGGTGGCCCCAGGAGGCGCAGGAGCAGCTGAGCCAGGCAGTTGCCCCCAGCCCAGAAGAGCAATTAGCAAGTTGGCAAACAACCCTTCCTCTGCTCTTTAGTTCAGAACCCTGGTTACCCTTACTTGTTTGACTGATCTGATAGCAAGCATCTGACTGGCCACAAGGCAGCGTCTTTATTAAGACCCCCATATTTAGCTAGGCAAGGTGGCTCAGGCCTGTAATCTCAGCCCTTTTGGAGGCCAAAGTGGGCAGATCCCCTGAGGTCAGGAGTTTGAGACCAGCCTAGCCAACATGAGGAAAACCCGTCTCTACTAAAAATACACAAAAAAACTAGCTGGACATGGTGGTGTGTGCCCATTACTCCAAGCTACTCAAGAGGCTGAGACAAGAGAATCGCTTGAACCCAGGCGGCAGAAGTTGCAGTGAGCCAAGATCACACCAGCCTGGGTGACAGAGTGAGACGCCATAAAAAAAAAAAAAAAGAATTCTGGATTCACAAGATTAAGGAAGCTCACTCGAATTTCTCCAGTTGTCCATCTTACCCGCTTGGCACTCAGCTAACTGTGGGTAATCAAGATTTCACAGAGGGACGCAGTGAGTGGTGTCTGCAGGCCTGGGATGCCAGAGAGTATGACTTCCTCCAGAGGATGACACCATGCCTGCTGACCTCTGAGCAGGCTGGAGCCTGCCACACCCAGAATTATTCTGGGGTCCAGGAAGATAGCTTCCCAGCAGAAGCCATGGGCTGCGCATATGTGGCATTCACTGCTTAGTAGGTGGTCATTTTCTAAATATGATGTCCTGGTACTTCCTTCAACGGAAATATGATCCCAAACTGCAACACAGAGAACAAGCAGAGGGAAACTGGGTCTTGGGGGTCTCTCAGGCTGTCTTCCTGGGTCCCATGGGGTTCCCGAGGCAGTACCAGGGAGCCTCCTTTGAGAGCAGCCCTGGGCAGACCAGGGCCCAGTGTGGCCTGAGGCCTCTGTGCGGTTGGCTGCCTTTCCTGGTCATTAATCGCTACTAAGTGTCATTACCACTAATAAAATTAACCGACTTGATACTAGACTCCCTGAGCCATCAATCTCAGGGTCCATTAGATGAAATTTTAAAAACAGATGCCTCTGGGGTGGGGCCCGAGGATTGGCGTTCCACCGAGCTCCCAGGCAAGGCTGGCTGTGCCCAGCTGGGCACCGTTTGAGACCCACTGCCCCCTCCAGGGTCTCTTCCCCTGGACGTTGTGGACAGTGAGGTGGGGTGGGTCCCTTCTGGGCACTGCAGGGTACTGGGCAGCATCCCTGGCCTCCACCTACTCCATACCAGAAACATCAAAAACAAAAACAAACCAACCAAACCCAGATGCCTGTTGAATGAGTGGAGGGGTTTGCTGGGTCTGGCTCCCACGGGCAGCCTGGGGAATTCTGGCACTCTCCAGATGTCAGAGGTCGTAATCAAGGACGATGCCTTTAGTTAGACAACCAACTTTGAGCCTCCACTCCACACTATAGGGGAGTCTTAGACAAGAACACAGCTTGGGCGGGGTGCAGTGGCTCACATCTGTAATTCCAACACTCTGGGAGGCTGAGGCGGGCAGGTCACTTGAGATCAGGAGTTCGAGACCAGGTGAAAACCCCTCTCTACTGAAAATATGAAAATCAGCCGGGCGTGGTGGTGCATGCCTGTAGGCCCAGCTACTCGGGAGGCAGAAGCAGGAATTGCTTGAATCTGGGAGGCGGAGGTTACAGGAAGCCAAGATCACACCACAGCACCCCAGCCTGGACCACACAACAAGACTCTGTCTCAAAAAAAAAAATTATGTTACATATTATGTTGTATCATATGACATATAATGTAGCTATAATGATATAATAATAGCTATTATTCTTAAAATGGCATTTGAGGCAGGTCTTGAAGGATATGCAGCCCCATTGGCGAAAATTTCCATCACTCCCTGCTTGTTCTCTTGTCTGTCAATCAGCTGCTACCAGGGAGGTCCAGTTTCTAAAACAGGAATCGTAAGCCCCCAGGGTGAGGAGGAGGACATTGGAGGGCAAGGTAGCTGCAGCCCCCAAGCCGCCCTCCACACTGGAAGCCAGTCAAGGCGTGGCCTCCTCAGCTGGAGCTGACATCCAGTCCTGCTCTGGACCTGCCAGGGGTCAAGCTCTGAGGGTTTCCTGCCAGGCTGCAGGGAGGGTGTTGGGTGTAGACCTGGTGGACTGGAAAATTACCCATTTACCCCCAGATTAATGATTAACGGGCCCCTGCCCTCACCCTGTCTGGGAGAGGAGCCCAGGGCCAGGCTGGGCCAGGGGAAGCCCGATAGCATCTGTCTGTGCTCGGAGGTTTCGGAGATATGCTCCATGATGGGTTGACTGCACCTGATGGGTGTGGAATCCGAGGGTGATTTCTGAGGGCACCTGGGTGATTTCTGAGGGCCTGGTCAGGCCGCATACCCTCCGGTGAGGCTTCTGGCTTCTGGGCACACAGAGAGGGCGTGGCATCCAGCCAGACGTCCTGGCTAAGGCAGGTGGCTCCAAACACGAGAGATGTGTCCTTGGCTCAGAGGGACGTGGGCCTCTCTGACCACTCCTGGCTTGACCACAGGCCTTGCCGTGGCCAGTGGCACATGAGCAACATGGCAAGTGCCACATCCAAGCAGGAGCTCTAGGAGCCACTGCCTGCTTCCTCCTTTGCTTTTTTTTTTTTTTTTTTTTTTTTTTTAAGACCAGGTCTTGCTCTGTTGTCCAAGCTATAGTGCAGTGATGCAATCTCAGCTCACTGCAGCCTCCGCCTCCTGGGCTCAATTTATCCTCCCACCTCAGCCTCCCAAATAGCTAGGACTACAGGCTTGTGCCACCACACCCAGCTAATTTTTCTATTTTTAATAGAGACAGGGTTTTGCTGTGTCACCCAGGCTGGTCTCAAACTCCAGGACTCAGGTGATCCACCTGCTTGGCCTCCCAAATGCTGGGATTACAGATGTGAGCCGCCACACCTAGCCCACCTTTGCTCTTTTACCCTAGCTATGAGGCCAGAACGTCCCAGAATGGGGTTACTTCTTTTGGGCTGGGTCCTGGAATGGTGTATGTTCCACCCACACTGGGGGCGCCAGGGTACAGGACAGCAAATGTTTTGAAGCAGCAGAGCCATCTCACAGAGGGCTTCTGGGAAGAGGGAGGGAAGACGAGCTCTCACTCCAGTTCCCACCCTGCTGCTGGTCTGTTGTATGGCCGGGCCAGTCACTGGCTCATCATCAATCCTTCATTTCCTCCTCTGGACAAAGGGGAGACCCTGCTTAGTTGGAGAGTAAAGCGTCTTGCAAAACGAGAGAAGTTTGGAAAGCCCCAGCCAGCAGGAAGGCAGGCCTGCATGTCCCAGGCACTGGGGTTAGTCCATTTCACATGATCCTCCCAGCGACCCTAGGAGGTAGAGAAGATCACTCTCCCCAGTTTCCAGAAGGGAAAAACCAAGGTGTCAAGGCTGCGCAGCTGGAAAGTCAGCCTTAGAATTTGGCAGCTGGGCTCCAGAATCAATGAACTTCGGATCTAGGAGAACGAGAAGTCTGGGATTGATGGCCTGATGGGAACTCAGCTCCTTCGCCTGCATCTAACCATCGAAGTCCTTCCTTCCTTCCTTCCATCCCCTCCCCTCCCCAGGCATCTATCTGTACCAGGTACCAAGTGGTCAGATGGTTGAAGAGCTATCTGGGGTTTATGGAAACATGTCAGATCGGAACGGGGTTACTTGGGCAGCCACATAGTGTAAGGGGGAGGGGGTTGTCAGGGGACCTTGGCTGGGTGTCCGCTCAATGTCCACATCCCCTCGCTGTCCCCTCTTAGGAATGTGGCTTTCCTGGCCAGGCAGCCACCAATACTCCATGTGTTATTTCCCTGAATTCCCAGATCACAAAAGCTGCCCAGGGAATGTGGTAAATATACAGATTCCCAGGCCCAATTCCAAACCAAGAGACTCAGAATTGCCCAGCATGGATCCTGGGAAAGCGTATTTTTAATAAGCACCCCAGATGATTTTTCTAACTGAGCAAGTTTGAGAAATAGGTGGATAAGAATAGCAGAGACCAGAATCTGGAAAACAGGTTTAAGATCCCGCAGCAACCCTGGTTACGTGAGCCTTAGTTTCCTCATCTGTAAAAGGGGGACGGGACCTCCAGGGGGTAATGAAGGGTAATGAAGCCCCCGAGGAGGCCCCTTCCCTTCGCCTGCCCCTCACCCCCATCCCCACCTGTCTGCCTCCTCTCGCCCTCTCCAGCCTGACTGGGCGGGAGGTCCTGACGCCCTTCCCAGGACTGGGCACTGCGGCGGCGCCGGCACAGGACGGGGCCCACCTGAAGCAGTGCGACCTGCTGAAGCTGTCCCGGCGGCAGAAGCAGCTGTGCCGGAGGGAGCCCGGCCTGGCTGAGACCCTGCGGGACGCTGCGCACCTCGGCCTGCTCGAGTGCCAGTTCCAGTTCCGGGACGAGCGCTGGAACTGCAGCCTGGAGGGCAGGACGGGCCTGCTCAAGAGAGGTGGGGGGGCCGGGGTGGGAGGAGGGCTGGGGAAGAAGGCTTCGGGCAGGAGGAAGCTGGGAGAAGCTGCCCTTTCCTCTCCCCTGGCCCCCGTGCCCAAGCCACGCTGCCTTTCCTGCCCGAGCGTGGTCCCAAATACAGAGTCCCTGGCGTTAGTGAGGGCGGTTGAAGGCCAGGTGTGGCCCAGCCTCAGGTTTGGGGGAGCAGAGGAGCAAGGAAGATCCGGGAGAGGAGGAGACACAAGCCCGTTCCTGGAGGAGCCCACAGATGAGATGGGGTCCCCCATTACCACCCTCTACCTCTTCACACACACGAAACAAGGCTCATGAAGACGTGAGGACGGGTGGCCGCTGGTTCCAGGTCCGATGACATGAGCCAGGCCATGCATTTGTCCACTCCTTCATCTGTCCCTTTGTTCGTCACATCCATCCATCCATCAGTCCCTCCCTCCCTTCTACTCCCATTCTACCTCCCTCCCACCTTCCCGCCTCCCTCCCGCCTCCACCCACCCCCTAAGCATCCATGGAGGCCCACGGTGAGGCAGGCACTGTGCTAGATGCTAAAGGGTCAGAGCTGAACAAGACCCCAGCTGCCCTCAGGAAGCATGCAGTCTAGAAGGGAGAACACAGGTCACCATGTGACTCCCTCGCCAGGGGGAAAGGGCTTCTGATGGGCAGGACAAGGGAATGTGGTTTCAGGACATAGCTTCGCATGGGTCTTCCTGTCAGTTGCTCCTTAAACTCTGACTGCAAGTTGCCATTTAAATGGAACTTCCAGGATGGGCAGAGTGGCTCACACTTCTAATCCCAGCACTTTGGGAGGCTGAGGCGGCCGATCACTTGAGGTCAAGAGTTCAAGATCATTCTGGCAAATATGGTGAAATCCTGTCTGTACTAAAAATATAAAAATTTTAAAACTGCAGTTGGCCAGTTGCCATGGCTCATGCCTTTAATCCCAGAACTTTGGGAGGTGGAGGTCAGGAGTTCGTAACCAGCCTGGCCAATGTAGTGAAACCCATTTGTACTAAAAATACAAAAATTAGCCAGGCGTGTGGCAGGCACCTGTAATCCTAGCTACTCGGGATGCTGAGGCAAGAAAATTGCTTGAACCCAGGAGGCAGAGGTTGCAGTGAGCCGAGATTGTGCCATTGCTCCACCCCGGGCAACAGAGTGAGACTCCATCTAAAAAAAAAAAAAAAAAAAAAATGCAGTGATGCTGTACAGGGCATCCAGGCCCCTCCTAGGCCAGCTCCTCTCCACGGTCTGCCGCCGAGCTAACGGCCTCACTCTGTGTCTCTCTCGGGATGTCACCAGCACCCCAGATGCACTGGAGGGCAGGTAGGAAGTAGTGAGCGCGTGGGAGGCCAGCTTTGGGCCACACCCAGCAGAGAGGAGTGGTCCCGGAGTGGGTGGGATGGTCAGTCTGGGGCAAGCCAGCCAGGAGACTCAAGGTCACTCTATTATTGGGTCTATTCCACAGTGGGTGGCAGAGAATGACATCTGAGAACGACATCATGCATCATGAGAAGCCCATGGGGCTTATCTCAGCGGCCTCAGAAATGGGCTGGTCCGAATGGTCACACACTGACTTGGTGTCAAAATAGCAGGTTTAGCCACAGCTGTGCCTGCACCAGGTGTCTGAGTAGCTTCTCTTTGCATCTCAGTGTCTTCTCTGAGAGGCGGGGGCAGTAGACCCTGGCCTGCTGCCCTTTGGGAATCGGGGCATGTACTGCAGAGTGAATTTGGAAGTTCTATTTATTTATTTGTAATTAAAAAAAAATTTTTTTAAGACAGGGTCTCCCTCTGTTACCCAGGCTGGAGTGCAATGATGCAATCTCAGCTCACTGCAACCTCCACCTCCCCTGTTCAAGCAATTCTGCCTCAGCCACCTGAGTAGCTGGGGTTATAGGCACACGCCACCATGCCCCTCTAATTTTTGTATTTTTGGTAGAGATGGGGTTTCACCGTATTGGCCAGATTAGTCTCGAACTCCTGACCTCAAGTGATCCACCCACCTCAGCCTCCCAAAGTGCTGGGATTAAAGGCAGGAGCTACTGTGTCCAGCCTGGAAGTTCCATTTAAAAGGCAACTTGCAGTAAGAGTTTAAGGGGCAATTGACAGGGAGACCCACGTGGAGCTATGTCCTCAAGCCACATTCCGTTGTCCTGCCCATCAAAGCACTGCCACCCCGCCTCCTGCCCTCAGATGGCAGCAAGCAGCCTCTGAGCTTCCTCCTTTCCTCTCTTTCCCCTTTCCACCCTCCCTATACCCCTGGGTGCCTGATACAGGCTTCAAAGAGACGGCCTTCCTGTACGCAGTGTCCTCTGCTGCTCTCACCCACGCCCTGGCCCGGGCCTGCAGTGCCGGGCGCATGGAGCGCTGCACCTGTGATGACTCTCCGGGGCTGGAGAGCCGGCAGGCCTGGCAGTGGGGCGTGTGCGGTGACAACCTCAAGTACAGCACCAAGTTTCTGAGCAACTTCCTGGGGTCCAAGAAAGGAAGCAAGGACCTGCGGGCACGGGCAGACGCCCACAACACCCACGTGGGCATCAAGGTGAGCATGTCGCGGGCTGCCCACAGTGCCCTCCCACCGGGATGTGGAGCTGGGGAGCAAGGCTTGAAGGAATCCAGCACCCCATCCCCCAAAACACACGAAGAGCCATGAACTTCAGGAAGGCAGGATGAACTTCACGTCTTCAACCAACACTCCCTTAGCATCTACTCTGGGCCATTCCTGGGTACCAAGAACACAGCAGAAGTAGGGAGGGATCACGGGTGCCTTTGGTGGCTGGTCAGCAGTGGAAGCCAGGCTTAGGACTAGGTCTTGGTGAAGCAGGGACATGTTTGGAGAGAGGTCTCCGTTCCTTCCTGGAGGACCGGGCCTTCCTGGAGGTCCTAGAAGCAACATCGTTTGAACATCTCTATCTAGAGCATCCCTGCGTCTTCTCCATTTTACGGGTAGGAAGATGGAAGTGGCCCCAAGAAGGGAAGGGGCTGAGGCTACACAGGAGTGGGAGACCTGGAGTCTATTGAGGTGAGGAGGCCAGGAGACACCAGTGCTCTAACTCTTTAGGGGATTAAAAGCTGAGTTGTAGCCGGGCGCGGTGGCTCAAGCCTGTAATCCCAGCACTTTGGGAGGCCGAGGCGGGTGGATCACGAGGTCGAGAGATCGAGACCATCCCGGTCAACATGGTGAAACCCCGTCTCTACTAAAAATACAAAAAATTAGCTGGGCATGGTGGCGCGTGCCTGTCATCCCAGCTACTCAGGAGGCTGAGGCAGGAGAATTGCCTGAACCCGGGAGGCAGAGGTTGCGGTGAGCCGAGATCGCGCCATTGCACTCCAGCCTGGGTAATGAGAGCGAAACTCCGCCTCAAAAAAAAAAAAAAAAAAAAAAAAAAAAAAAAGCTGAGTTGTAATCACTGAGTTGGTGTGAACCAGGGCCGCTGTGTTCAGTTTTGTAAATTGTCTATTCCACAAGAATGCCAGGCCAAGGGGAGGAGCTGGGGCTGAGATGTGGCCCACACTGTTGTCACCAGGGCATGCACACTGGCACGGGTCTGGCTCTATCGAGGGGAAGGGAGCCTTTTACCTTTTTTTTTTTTTTTTTTTTTTTTGAGATGGAGTTTTGCTCTTGTCGCCCAGACTGGAGTGCAATGGTGTGATCTCGGCTCACTGCAACCTCTGCCTCCCGGGTTCAAGCAATTCTCCTGCCTCAGCCTCCCTGGTAGCTGGGATTACAGGCATGTGTCACCATGCTTGGCTAATTTTGTATTTTTAGTAGAGATGGGGTTCTCCATTTTGGTCAGGCTGGTCTCGAACTCCCGACCTCAGGTGATCCACCCGCCTCGGCCTCCCAAAGTGCTGGGATTAAAGGCATGAGCCACTGCTCCCGGCCGCCTTTTACTATTAATAGTTTGCACGAAGGTGCCTCATAGCTAACTTGGATCCTATCTTTTTCCTTCATGAGAACCTTCCTGTCTCTTTCCAATGCCCTGCTGCTGCCCTGCTGGGGTTGGTGCTCTGGCTCTGGGGGTGGGCTCTGGCTGCTGGGCCCTGGCCTCTGACCATGCCTCTGTTCTGTCTCTCCCCACAGGCTGTAAAGAGTGGCCACAGGACCACGTGTAAATGCCATGGGGTGTCAGGCTCCTGTGCCGTGCGCACCTGTTGGAAGCAGCTCTCCCCATTCCGTGAGACGGGCCAGGTGCTGAAGCTATGCTATGACTCGGCTATCAAGGTGTCCAGTGCCACCAATGAGGCCTTGGGTCGCCTAGAGCTGTGGGCCCCTGCCAGGCAGGGCAGCCCCACCCAAGACCTGGCCCCGCGGTCTGGGGACCTGGTCTACATGGAGGACTCACCCAGCTTCTGCCGGCCCAGCAAGTTCTCACCGGGCACGGCGGGCAGGGTGTGCTCCCGGGAGGCCAGCTGCAGCAGCCTGTGCTGCGGGCGGGGCTATGACACCCAGAGCCGCTTGGTGGCCTTCTCCTGCCGCTGCCAGGTGCAGTGGTGCTGCTACGTGGAGTGCCAGGAGTGCGTGGAGGAGGAGCTCGTGTATACCTGCAAGCACTAGCCTACTGCCCAGCACGCCAGTCTGGCATGGCCGCAGCCCCCCGTGGCACCCTTCCGCCCACCCAACCGGCCCTCTGGACAGGCAGTCATCACATGCGTGCACAAACCGGCATGTGTGCCGAGGCACCGAGTGTGCCATTCACCACCATTCCTTGGTAGCCTTTTGCCTCCCTCAGTACTCAACAAAGGAGCAAAGCTTCATCCCTGAACCCAAGCATCCCCAGCCTTGTTGAAGGCTTGGAGAGGAGGGCAGAGTGAGAAAGATGTGGAGGGAAGTAAGGGAGACCGAGAGGACAGCAGGACTGGAGCTTTGGAGGCGAGGGAGGGGCTGTTCCATCTTGCTTCCTGGGATGAATGGCTTGGAGCCAGCATGTTCTTGGGAGGTGAGCGGCTGAGCGGGGAATACCGAGGGAGGCAGCGCCAGCTAGAAGTGAAGGTGGGAGTCTGGCTGGGATGGGCCAGTCCGGTCCTGTGGCCCTGCTCAGGCGCAGTGAGCTCCAGGTGTCACACGCCTCCACCACTACCCTGGTTTTGCTGTGCCACGGATGGGGAGAAAGCCCAGGTGGTAGAAGCCATCTATCTGTTCAGAGAAAGGAGAGCTTTCTGAGCTTGAGTGGACCCAAGTGAGATCCATGCCCTGGAGCCCTGTGTCCTTAATTTGACTTTTCGAATAAGCCTCCCCTAAAGCTTCATTCTTGCCTTGAGAGCTGGGTTATCCACACCCATCCAGCTGTGCTCACAACGACCACCCGTCAGGTAAGACAGGTGGGAGAACCAGCCGCCAAGGTGGGGCTCAGTGCACCTGAGGTGGAGCAGAAAGACAGCGGCCCCTCCCTGTGTTCCCTGCTGGCCAAAGGAATCTTTACTCCCAGCCCAGAGGAGGAGGGCAACAGCTTCCTGGTGCCCAGCAGTGACATGGTGAGCTGTTTCTCAGCTGGCTCTTGAGTCCTTTTGGTGACTTACTGTGACTGGGGCCTGCCAGGTCTGTGACACCCCCACACCAACTGAGTTCACAATACTGAAGACTAGCTGCTCATGAGCTATGACTTGAGGTGACATGTCTACTCTTGTGGGTGCTCATCTAAGTAAGGCTTTTGCCCTGGTTGGGGTTACAGATGCTTGAGTCCGTGCGAAGCCTGGCTCCTGGGTAGCCTCCTTCAGTTCCCAGTCAATGGCCCCTCACTTGGCCCTCACTTGGGCTCTTACTTGAGGAGGAGACGTGACTTTGTTAATTTCTTCAGATCCTGTGGACATTTCCAGCACCACCTGCCAAGGCCCTCGGAGAAAGGAGAGAGAGACTGGCATCTCCACACAGGCACACACGGACACACAGCCCCTGGACCAGGCTGGCGTTCCGGTCGCACACACCTCTCTGGTTCAGGATGAAGACCTTGCAGAGGTCACCTTGCTGGAGGCATTGTGCTTCCCCAGAGTGGGGCCCAATGCCAGCCAGGAGGAAGTGACTTCTTTCGGGAAGCCCTTGGCCACTTTGCTGGCCCTGCCACACCCCTCTGTCAGCTTCCTTTCTCCCTAAACCTAGAGTTGCTGACCCTTCACCATGACAGGAAACTTCAGAATCAGCCGAATTCTCAGAAACCTCGCCTGTGCCAGCTCCAGGACAAAGGCCCGCTGACGGCCCCAGTGGACTCCCCGAGACCTCCAAGGGTGGAGAGAAGCTGGCCTCTTTCCAGTGGATCAGGGCAGCCTGCTGGATGCTGGAAGGATCTGTGACTGCAGAGGCTCAACTGAGAAGCCAAACTGACCTGAGCGCCTCTCGCTAAAGTGACATTGCTGATCCAAGCACCTGCCCACACCTTGGCAGGAGGAGAAACATGGGGAGAGGGCTGGCTTTCTCGCGTCTTTCACTTCCCCGCAGCATGGAGACTTTCTCTGCCTTTCAGTCCATCTTGCTCCTCTGAGATACCATCTCTGCCTCCATCCAGGCTCAGCCCTGGGCATAAAGCAGCAGGGACCTCACTGGCAGGAAGAGGGGGCCTGGAAGCAACTTGGGGGCCGGAGCACCCTGATCCACCAACACACCACCCGCATCCTGACTCTGGTTGGCAGCATCAGGGTCACGGGAGGGCAAAGGGCAGGCTCTGAGGCACTTGGCCGTGGCTGGCTGCTAACATGGACACCCAAGTCAATGGCACAGTGTAGGTTCTGACAGCTCTTCGGCTTGTGGGGACTTCTCTGTCTCTCTCCTTCTCTTCTTCCTTGCTCCCATCCCTTTCTTTCCGGTTACCCCTAAAGACCCACCTCAGTCCTCTTGGGGCCCCTGGGGACTAGAGTGGCCACTGACCCCCGCATTCTATAGCTTTAAGGGAAATGCTCACAGGGTATTTTGTCTACCTCAAATATATAGTTTTTAGGGCAAAGGAGAATAATTTATATAGCTAAGATATATGAGAAAGTATTTATATTATTTATACAGTTGCTATATTCCATGGACAGCACAGGTGGGGTTGCATGTCTCCCCCGGAAACTGTCTGGGGAGATGCAGCCTGACCAGGCCAGGTCCCCCACTGAGCAGAAGGACAGATGGCAGGGAAGGAGGTCAAGCCTGTATCCCACGACTGGGTCCGTCTCGGAGCCCGTGAGAACACGTCCCTCTGTGTGAGCCCTGCTGGGCTCCATCCAGACGCTGCTTGTGAAGTTTTTGTAGGTGTTTTGCTCTTTTGGGTCCAGGCCTCCTTCTTCTGCTCTGGTCAAAGTGTCTTGCTCATAATAATAATGACAACAAGAGTGACCACACCTGACATTTTGGTAAACAGTAAAGCACTTTGCTGTTCAGAAATGCAAATGTTTGCCCTTTTTATCTCACTTGATTTCTCCATTATCTCTGTGAGGTGGGTGGGGCCACATGACGGTGCCCATTTTATAGAAGAGGCCCAGCGATGGAGAGCTGTGCTCAAAGTCACACTGAAGAGGCTTGTTCAGTGAATATTTACTGAACGTCTTCATGGACCAGGCACTACAGGAGCTGACTTGCTCTGAGCCCAGAAGCTCCAAAGCCTGGGTACCACTGTGAGCCCAAGCACTCAGGGACTTGCCGGGCTGGGACCCTGGTCTTTTGGATCTGGATGGCAGGTTGCCACTTCCCCCAAGTGGAGTCCCATGTCTCAGGGGCTGATACTGCCTGAAAAGTCTGGAGAGACCAGGACCCCACTCAGGCCACTCCAAGAGGTCCTTCTGCCTATATTGCTAGAGAAGGTTTGGCTACACCACCAGGCCCTTCCCAGCCTACAAATAAGTTGTTTGCTCTTATTTGTGTTTTGCTTGTAAAAATGAATTGTCTTCCACTGAATTTCTGGCTTTTTTTGCAAACATCAGCTGCGCTGGCAGACCGGGCCTGCATTCCCTCCTGGCCACAGGCAGCTAGAGCGAGGGAGCCCTATTGGACAGGATGCCCCGAGTGCCCCCGTCACTCATAATGCTCCTACCTGCTTCTCATGAGCGCATAGTCCCATCCCATGGTCTAGATAAGCCCAGCTTCCCTGGTATCTTTCATCGCCTGGCAGACAGACAGACCCATGCCAACCCTGGAGATTACATGCTTTTGAACCTTTCTGTTCTCAACAACAGTGAACTTCAAATGCTTTTTGTCTTAGGACGCTTTTGAATAACAATGAAAACCATCACTTATTGAGTGCCCCTTATGTCCATGTATTCAACCAACGATTATTTAGTGATCTCTTATCGAACACCAAGCAGCATCCTAGATGTTTGGTACAGCTATGAATAGGACCAAGTCTCTGCCTCATGGGGCTGACATCCTAGTGGGTGAGAAAGACGATAAACCAATAAATGATATGCCAGTAATATGCATTTATTTTGTCTCAATTTATTGCAATAACTTTGCACATTGGACATGGTCCCCGTAATGGGTAAGGAGATGGAGGTTGTGAGCTGAGAAGCCGCCTCATTGCAGCTGGCAGGCAGCAGGGCCAGGATTAGAACACAGATCTCTTATCATCCAGTGTATGGGATTCTTCCTCTATACTGGTGTAGGTTGGGCAGGGATGGATCGCCCCATTTTATGGATTCTGGGTAAACTGAGGCCTAGAGGAAGGAAGTAATCCATCCTGGATTACACACCAACTCAGACAGACCAGAGCCTGGGTCCTTTCTGGAGGTGACAAGCATTTCTGGAGCCCTCATGCTATTGCCAGCAGCATGGGTCGGGGTGGGGCGGGATGAAGCTAAGCAGGGGTCTTCAGGGACCTACAGTCCGACAGGAGAAATGAGCAGCACAGCCATGCAGTGATTTGGATCATTTTTGCATGAACCCTGAGTCCCTTTTCTGGCCACAGTGACTTCCCAACATGCTTTGGGAGGCCTCGCCCACTAGGATCTTCCTGGGGGTCTGACAGGAGAGGAAGCCTCTTTCTGAGCCAAGCACAGCACAGTGCCTATCTCCTGGCACAGACCTGCCCGGCCCCAGTTCTTCACCGCTGCTGGGGTCCACATTGCCTTACCTGGGCTCCCCAGGGCAGGAGGCAGATGTGGCCCACAGTCCCACTCTGCGGAGGCTACTTTTCCACCCACATCCCTGTCCTAACATGTTCCTTCTGCCCAGTGTCCTGGGCCCGGAGACCAGCTGGCTCTGAGCAACATCAGACGTCCACATGCAGCAGCAGGCTACAGTGTACCAAGGGATTTCTCAGCTATTTTCTCTCTTGAGCCTCACAAGGTGGACACCCCTCTCTTTTTAGAGATGAGGAACTGAGACACAAAATGGTTAAGTGACTCACCAGAGGCTACATTGCTAGCAAGTGGATCCAGGCCTTCTGCTCCAAACCCCATATTCTTTCTACCATACACCATCCTCCCCTCCTCCTGCCCCCATCTGAGCCTTACCTTGTTCCTGCTCATAAACTGGTCCCCAAACAGGCCCGCAGACTCCTCCACCTCTAGCTGCTGGGTGCCACCAGCTTCCAGGAGGACCAGGGCATGTTGAGACAATCACTAGGTGGGTACCCTACCCACAGTATCCCCTCCTTTAAAAACAGCCACGTTTGTTAGCTCTCTTTGCATATGCAGTATCTATTTTGTTGAACCATTTGTGAGAACTTTGTAGACACCAAAACACTTACAGACTTTATCACGTACCTCCTAGGGACAAGAACCTTCTCCAACAGAACCACAAGGCCATACCACAGAGAAGAGATGTAACATTAACACCCATATCTACTACATAGTTAATATTTAGACTTCCTCTCTCTCAAAATGTCCCTTATAGCATTTTCTTCTGGCCAGGCTCAGGTTCACACCCATAATCCCAGTGATTGGAGAGGCCAAGGCAGGAGGATCGCTTGAGCCCAAGAGTTTGAGGTTATAGTTTTGCAACACTGCATTCCAGCCTGAGTGACAGAGCAAGACCCTGTCACTAAAAAATTAAAATTAAAAAAAAAATTTTAAACATGTTTTTCTGGCCCAGGATCCACGTAAGAATTAGGAATGGTATGTTGTTGCCATGTCTCTCCAGCCTGCTGTAACCAAGAACAGTCCCCTGCCTTTGCTATCGTTAACAGTGATAGTTGGAAGAGTGAAGGCCACATGTCCCGTAGACTGCCTCTCAACTGAGATCTGCCTGCTCATTTCCTTAGACTTGGATTCAGGTTAAACATTTTGGCAAGAAGCTCCCTGGGTGACGTGTATCCTCCTTCTCTGTTCATGCTGTCAGAAGCCACAGGCTGTTGGTTTGTTCTGTGACTGGTGATGCTGAATGTGTTTTTTTTTTTTTTTTTTTTTTTTTTTTGAGAAGGAATTTCACTCTTGTTGCCCAGGCTGGAATGCAGTGGCATGATCTCAGCACACTACAACCTCCACCTCCTGGGTTTAAGCGATTCTCCTGCCTCAGCCTCCTGAGTAGCTGGATATTACAGGCACTCGCCCCCATGGCCAGCTAATTTTTTTGTATTTTTAGTAGAGTTGGGGTTTCACCATGTTGGCCAGGCTGGTCTTGAACTCCTGATCCATCTGCCTTGGCCTCCCAAAGTGCTGAGATTACAGGCATGAGCCACTGCACCCGGCCTATGATTCCCATTTTATAGATGAGAAAACTAAAGCTCAGAGACGTTTCCTGGCCACACGATTAGCAGGGCCACAAACGAAACAGCTTTTTCACTGCCTCGTCCCAGGAAGTGCAGGGCGCGGCCTGGGGACAGAGAGAAGGGGTATCAGGGAGCTGCAAGTGTTCAGGGTGACTGGTGGCCTCTTCCGTCCCTGCTGCTTGGTCCTCCTTGTCTGCTCCTCTCTCTCCTTCTTCCTGCCCTGCATACCTGCAGAGAGGAGGCTGATGCCTCTCACGGTCATATCCCCCCAACTCCCATCCCACCTTGAGTCCCCAGGGGCTGTGGGGCCCACATTCCTCCCTGGCTTTCTTGGGCCCATTAGTGTGTTTATGCTGGAGCCCTCTCAAGGGAGCAGAGCCCCGACCCCTGCCCCATCGCCCTCCCACCGTGGAGAGTGGGCAGTGGAGTGGTGGAGGCCAGGCAGAGGCACAGGAGGGCCTGACCCAGTGTCCGAATTCCTGCCCCCCTGTCTCAACAAGTCCAGGGTGGCCAGCAGCCTGGGGAGCAGCGGTAGCTCCCCGGGACCCCACCCCTTCCCACACCGTGCCTCCGGAGCCTGACAAGCTCTAATCTCAGCTGTCTTCATGCAGCCAGCCCTCCGAGCCCGGGGTCACCTGACGCCGACACATTTTAATTCAGAAGCTGATTTCTGCTTGTTGGCAACATGTCATTTCTGAAATTGCTTTCTCTGCCCAGAGGCGGGAGATGTCAGAGCTTTGCAGGTGTTGCAGTGGTGCCGCCCCCACTCCACACCCACCCCCTCCCCAAGTTCAGGAAGGATTAAGGGGCGTGGGGGGGCACACAGGAGATCCTCAAGCTTTGCTTCTCATGTTTCCCCAAGGGCCGGGGGCCAGGGATGGGGGATGCTGGGAATGGCCTCTGCTTTCCTTTCCAGCCCGAAGACAGAAGCCCAGGGTTTGGTAAATGAAGTTGCTGCTCTGTCAATACTGACAATGGCCACAGCAGTTGTTTTGTGCAGGCTTCATACAGGTAGCAAGTCCTCTGCAGATGCTTCACAAGTGCCTTGTTGTATTTCAATGTTAGGACAACCCTCCAGGTTGGCGTCATGCCTCCTTTGCAGCTGAGAAAATGGGTTCAGAGAGGTAAGACTGCTTACCTGAGCAAGTATGTGGCAGGACCAGCATTCAGACTCAGTGAGGGCCACCACGGGACTGGGATTGGGAGGTCTGGGAAGGGAGAGGCCATGGAGTTGAGGAAGACTGTGGTGGCCTCTCCTGTATTTGCTTTATGACTTGGCTCAAATACCTCCAGTGAAATTTGTGAACTCCCACGACTTCCCCACTCCTGCAACCCATCAACTAGTTCTTTGCTCCCCTGGCTTTTTAAAATTATTATTATTATTTTGAGACGGAGTCTTGCTCTTGTTGCCTGGGCTGGAGTGCAATGGCACGATCTCAGCTCACCACAACCTCCACCTCCTGGGTTCAGGCAATTCTCCTGTCTCAGCCTCCCAAGTAGCTGGGATTACAGGCATGTGCCACCACACCTGGTTAATTTTGTATTTTTAGTAGAGATGGGGTTTCTCTATGTTGGTCAGGCTGGTCTCAAACTCCCGAACTCAGGTGATCCACTCGCCTCGGCCTCCCAAAGTGCTGGGATTACAGGCGTGAGTCACCATGCCCGGCCAGCTTATTTTATTGTATTAGTTTGAGACAAAGTCTTGCCCTGTCACCCAGGCTAGAGGGCACTGGCATGAGTTCTGCTCACTGTAGCCTCTGCCTCCCAGGTTCAAGTGACTCTCTTGTCTCAGCCTCCCAAGTAGCTGGGACTATAGGCACGTACCACCACACCCAGCTGGTTTCTGTATTTTCAGTACAGATTGTGCTTTCACCATGTTGGCGAGGCTGGTCTTGAACTCCTGGTCTCAAGTGATCCGCTGGCCTCAGCCTCTCAAGGTGCTGGGATTACAGGCGTGAGCCACCGAGCTTGTCTGCCTTAGCATTTTGTGTACGTCTTGAGTGACAGTCATCTGTCAATATTGACGTCCTTTGTTTTACTGGATGAATGAACAAATGAATTTATAAATCCTGTTCTCCATACTGTTTACCCATCCTAATTTCCCTCCCTGGTAGTGTCCTGCCATAAGCAGGCTTCCTGGTGTAGCTGGCACCACGTCCCTCCCTGACACCCGGGCTCCTTATTGCCCATGCTCCCTGCCCTTTTCTCTCCTCCCTTTCCTTTCCTTCATTCCACCTTCCCTCCCCCACTTCCCAACTCTCAGAATCCTTGGCTGCCTCAACCACAAGAACAAGGCTGTGCAGAAGGCTGAACCTGGAGCTTCTGCAAGATGAGGTGGAGAATGAGCTGACCCAGCTGGAAAGCAGCCTGCTGGTCCCTGGAGAGACGACGCTTGGGCCAACCCATCGTCCCCATGGTGGTCCCCACCTCTCACCTACACCCGCTTCCCCAGATGAGCTTCTTCCTCTCCCTCCAGCGTTTCAGAGGATCCACAGCTGTGTGTACTTGACCCCTGGCCTGGGCTAGTGCTGGGGACATAGCCAGTCTGGCTGATGTGGAGCTCAGGACAGAAAGCTGTCCTCACTTCATGCACCAGTTGCATCGGTATCGAGCATTGGCTTTATGAGGCCTCTGAAGCTACCATCTCATTTACTGCAGGCATAAGCCTATATCAGTTGGTGGGGGTGGAGGTTAAACTAAAGACATCAAAGATGCATAGACCTCGTGGGCCCCTTCCAATTGTTAAATACAATCTGCAGGAGACCATTGGTT